AGAGGTGGTTATCGCCATCCACCGCTGCGTTCTCGACACGTGTCCCCCAGCACATGAGGTAAATATTCCCCTGGAATTCTGTCAGAGGCTTCTTTCACGCGCCTGTGACCAGGCCGAACAGCGTGGTGTCAAGTCCTCGAAATAATCGACCTGTTGAGGTCGAACAGAATCCTCGATCGCCTATCTGGTCGATGAATAGTTTGGTCGACAGCTTTGCTTGGTCGACTGAGTGACTGCTCGATTCCCTCGACTTCTTCAGAATATGACCTCCTCAACCGGTCCATAGACCGGTTCAGCCTATTGGGTATAATATCCCATATCACAATACATATTCGATTTTTGAATGTCGATTTGTTGATTCAAAACTAATCTAATTGTTTTTTTTTTTTTTCAAAAACGATAGATAATAAAAATGTATTTTTGGTATTTTTGGTATAATTATGTAGGATAAAATGATCATATATGAGTTTGTTATAAAATACGGGGAAGATAAAGAACACAATGTAAAAACCGGATATAAATTATAATATGCCTTTTCTTTCACTTCTTCCGTGCAAACTTTACAATACCCATTGGCCTCTTTTTATAGGCAAATTTTAAGCCTTCAATCATACACTAGCACACACTTCAATACATTTGAATATAATAATGTAAAAAATATTATTATTATTATTAGTGGTAAATTCTACATATTTATAATACTTCTCCTTGAAATTACCACTATTAAATGTGCGTTTATGTTGCCTCGTTAAAAACTTTATCTGGAAAAACCCCGTGGGAAAAAACTGAGATAAGGAAAAAGAGTACAGCCGCACATACTCCCCCTCGAGTTATCATTTATGCAAATCCCGAAGATGTCTCATTCCAATATTGTGTACGTGCTTTCGAAATATGGTCGTCGGAAGCGCCTTCGTAAATAAATCTGCTGCATTATCACTTGATCGAATGTATTGAACTTTGATTTGTTTGTTTCTTTCAAGCTCCTGAGCATATGAGAAGAACTTTGGCGGGATATGTTTAGTTATGTCACTCTTAATGTATCCTTCTTTGGTTTGAGCGACACATGCTGCATTGTTATCGAATATCACTGTCGGGTCATCATATTTGATAGTCCACTGGCTTGTTGAATATGTTGAGTCATGTTTCTGAGCCATATGCTTTTCCTCGTTGCTTCATGAAGTGCAATAATCTCAGCATGATTTGAAGACGTCGCAACTAATGTTTGTTTATGAGAACGCCAAGAGAATGCAGTTCCACCAATCGTAAAAACGTAGCCAGTTTGAGATCTTGCTTTATGGGGGTCTGATAGATATCCTGCATCTGCAAAACCGATTATTTCATGTTTTTATCATTGGAGTAAAACAATCCCAAATCGATTGTCCCTTGGAGATAACGGAATATATGCTTGATTTCATTCCAATGTCTCCTCGTACGTGCAGAGTTATATCTTGTTAATAAGTTGGTAGCGAAAGATATATCTGGTCTGGTGCAATTAGCAAGATACATAAGGGCTCCTATTGCACTCATATATGGTATTTCAGGACCAAGTATTTCTTCATCTTCTTCACAAGTTCGAAATGGATCCTTTTCGATATCTAATATTCGATTGACCAATGGGGCACTAAGTGGATTAGCCTTGTCCATATTGAATCGTTTCATCTTTTAGTGTAATTAATTGATGGACGAATATCCCATTTTGGACTCGTTCTATTTGCAAGTCGAGACAATATTTTATTTGTCCGAGATCTTTCATTTCAAACTCACCTTTCAGTAAACTGGCTGCTTCTTGGATTTCATTTGTAGTCCCAATAATATTAAGATCATCGACATAGACAACAATTATCACAACTCCATCTTGTGATCTTTTTATAAAGACACACGGGCATATTTGATTATTTATGTATCCCCGTTTTAGTAATTGTTCACTCAAACAATTATACCACATACGCCCAGATTGTTTCAAGCTATACGATGATCTTTGCAGTTTTATCGCGCATAACTCTTTAGGTTTGGACTTTAGTGCTTCGGGTATTCTAATTCCTTCTGGAATTTTCATATAAATGTCAGCGTCTAGCGATCCATATAAGTAAGCAGTCACAAGATCCATGAGACGCATCTCAAGATTTTCATGGATGGCTAAACTAATCAAGTATTTAAAAGTAATTGCATCCATAACAGGGGAATATGTTTCATCATAATT